CTTGCCATCACCAGTGTGTGAATGTGTGTGTGAATGGGTGGATGACTGGATGTAGCGTAAAGCGCTTTGGGGTCCTTAGGGACTAGTAAAGCACTATACAAATGCAGGCCATTTACCATTTACCAATTTGTTTCTGACAGAAGAATGAATGCCCACTTAAATAGAAATTATACATCAATAATGGCATAATATACAATAAAACAGCTAGAATCTTAAAAAATATTGTGATGTGAATTTTTAGCCACACAGTCCAGTGCTAAAAGTAAACAATTAGTTTCAGCTTTAAGTCTGTATATCTAGAATTAATACCAGAGTTTAATGACCAGAAAAATGCATGTGTAGCAACTCCAAAAACACTAAACTGGCATCCAGTACACATAGAAGTAAGCAGAGACCCAAAGCTGCACAGATAAGAACAACAGTAACTAAAGTGAAGGTGCAATGCAAGCAGAGGTGAAATACTTGGAGCTGCAGAAGCAACACAGTTTCTCAGAATACAGGTAGGGCAAAACAAGCGTGCACACATGGGAACTGTGAGTAACGATGCTGTACGAGCACATGAAGCATCAGAGTGTGTTGTGTTGTAATGTAGGTGGGATTTTTCTATTCTAACAAGTATCCTCTCAGGAAACAATATGGCACTGTGTTTTTGTTATACTAGCTATGGGAATGTAGATCAAAGGCAAAACATGACAGCAGGCTACATAAAGCTGACAAGAGGGGACTGCAAGAGGCACATTTATGGCTCTCTAGGATGCATTATATATTTCACATTACTGTATGATAACAGCAGAGTGGTTCAGTGCATTTATAAAGCACATTACTGATGTTTCAAAAGGTCAGATGCACAAAAATATTTTATTTCTAGTGTTCTGTATAGGGCTGTGCGATATGACCAAAATCTCATATCCCGATATAATAATTCTATCGTCTGACGACGATATAAATCACAAAAATGTAACATTTTCTGTAAATTCTGTGAATCTCGGGCAGCTCGACTTGCGG